TAATAAGCTCGAAGCAATTTTCTTCAAAGTGAACCACATTAACTTTTGCTCCTCGCGACAAACACCTCCTGAAGGAGCTGATTCCTCATCAGTTATTTCGCATTTTCTGCTTCGACAGCTATGCATGGTTGCGTTCCACTTGTTGACAGCCGAAAAGGATCAGTAGAGACGTCGAGGATAGTCTTACTTTCGCAAAACAAAACCTCCTAGTGAGCTCCTCATTATCCCTCCTCATTCCAGAGGTGGAACACTTAAGTGGCCAATTTCATATGACTTGTTGTTCATTTTTTCAATATTCTCTCTTACAAGGGAAGTGTCAGAAGTCGAGTGGCCATATGGCATGAGATAGGTATCATCTGAAGCAGCTTGATAAGCTGATTCCAAAACAGTCTTCTTAGCTGCAGAACGAATCTGGGTCAGAAGTTACTCAGTTCTAATTTGCACAAATTACAACGGTTGAAGTGCCAAATTATCAAAGCCCATATATTTTAGGCTTGAAATCGGCTGAAACAGTTTATCAGTGATTAATATAGTTCTACTCCTTTCTAACTGTTATGCTACAGTGCTTACACAAGCCTTAAAACGATTTCTTCGATTTCGGGGTACTTTAAATAACGAAAAATTTGTTGATTAAAATGTCCACAACATTCCACCCAGACTCGTTCTGCAGCTAAGGAAGACTTTTGGAATCAGCGTTTAAAGCTGCTTCAGATGGTGTCTATCTCATGTCAAAAGGCCGCTGCGACTTCTGACACTTCCCTGGTAGCAACAACTGACTTCCTCGAACAAAAATCAGTTCCTCAAAGTGTGGATAGAGTACTCATTTCAGCACAATCTCCATTTTCATTTTTTTCAAGCACACGAAACTCAGTTGTTCAAAATCGTCAGCGCAAAAACATCTACTCGAGTTACTCATCCTGTCTGTAGTTCTCCTTTCAAGGTCATTTCTCAAAAGATTTCGGTAAGTTCCACAGTTGAAGTGAAGATAAATGGCATGTGAGCACAAAGTGTCAAAGAACTCTCTTGCTGAATTTCCATGTAACCATAATCAGCTGAGGTTGATCCAGCAAACACGAGAGAATTAATTAATACCTATTCTGTAGAGAAGACGTTTTGCAAACGAAGTGGAAATGTGGAATGCAAATCGTAGGCGTTTTTACTTTCTCCCAGAAACTCTCTCGTTTTTGATATAAGTTTTGCAGACCGTTCGATAGAGCAAAGCAAGCTCTACAAGATAACGCCTAGGTGCACTTTTAGCTGTGGAATCCGGCCAAAGCTGCGGGATTTGTGGGATGCCTTTGGTTATAACTTTTTCTAAAACAACTTTATTTGTTGTAAGAAGTTTTGGGTTCAGCTTAATGAGAGGAATCTTTCAGTATACATCATGCCCTTTTCCATGGTGCATTGCATTGTGTTGGCATGTGTTATAAGATTATCAACTGTATTGTTGCTCATATGAACAGATTTTGAAAATAACAAAGAATTATCAGATGTCTACCGTAACACCATGGACTACGGGTATAATGTATGCTTTAGTCTCATCAAGCTGAAGCCAAATCTTCTTGCAGATTCCAAATAACGTTGTTTTAGGAGAAGTTGTAACTAAATCCTGCAAATCCCGCAATTTTGGCTGGATTCCACCGATACAACTGTATATGCTCAAGATCTGTATATAAATTTCGAAGCCGAAGACCAAAAAAATCTAGATGAAAAAAATGAAAAAAATGAAATTTAATCTAAAATCTAAATCAAAATTGAGAAAAAATTGTAACATCTTTCGAAAAAATCCTAAAAACTTCCTACTTGTTCAACTATGTACATATCGAGTATTTGTCTGTGGATTTGCGAATTTTTTTGCGTGGCTAGAACGATGTACACAGCAATTGGACGATCCCACTGCAAAATACGAA